CATCACTTATTATCACATATAAACAAACAGTAAAAATCGTAAAAAAATTGGCCAACTTTGTGAACCAGATTATTCTTCGTTTTATTCTCAATCGCCTTGAAATTTTGTGAAAAGAACCTTCAAATGTTAGGAATTTGCGAACTTTTACCCAAAATTTAAACCGACAACTTTTTTATCATTAAATTATCCTAGAAAGCAAAATTTGCCTAAATTTTACTTATGAAATTTAGGTGCATCGATCATTTGACTTATCTATTAAAATATCATATGTGACAAATCGGGTATCTGATATCTGATACTGATTATGTCTGATATGGATTTATATACATAACGTGGCTTAATTATACTTTATAATCTCTATTGACCTAACAATCTTTCTGGTGTAGATAATTGCGTGAAATTCTATTTTGTTTGCGTGATGCACTAAAAAAAGGTCAAATTCGAACTGTCCATAGGGGTCATAGCAATTAATTAAGAGATTATCTTTTTTGAATTATATTACTGTATTAAATGAAAACTTATAAATTCTATTGACATGTATTTAAGCCAAATTTGGCACCAATATAAAAACTACTCTAATTTTAAGTTTAATTATGGTTTTATTTAATGCCAAATTATGATTTTCATAAAATTTACTTTATCGATATATATTCATAAACCGGTTTTTGAAACATTTCGGTTTCAAGAATGAAAACAGGATTATATGCATTAACAAAATTATAGTACATAAAGTTTATATCCCGATTAAAGTTTAGCAATTGATCTGCATCAACCAATCAGATGAACGATGCAAATTTGACGCACAAGGAACGAATTTTTATCTGTGATTGGCTAATTACGCGGTGTGACAGACGTGTATCTTGTGATTGTTCAGATCCAAATGGCTAGGAGTATAATATCCTAACTTCGGACAATAATAATTATGTTAGGTTAATTCTGAAAAATGAGAATAATAGAAGCTTAAGTTGCAAAATAGACTTAGTAAATTGGTATTTATTTCAGCTATAATATTTTCAATCACATTATAAAGATATTTCCTTTTGTAAGTAAAAGAAAATTCTAATTATCAATACCACCAAATGTTATTGTAACAGTATATTCACACGCTTTACTATTAATATAAACTTTTTTGCGCATTTTTTGCTAACTCCGTAAAACAGTGCCTTATATACTTTATGAAATAATTTTTTAAAGTAATAATAAGTTTCTCCGTCTAAATGTTGATCCCTAGTACCCTTAGAGTAATTAATAAATTCGATCAAAAGGTAATAATGTCTCAGAATATCTGCATCGTTTTTATCTACAATTGTTTGGAGAATTTTTTTTCAAATATTCCAAAGAGCGATAATTAAAAGTAATTACGAAATGTATAATCATACTCTTTCATCATTATAGCAAATAAATATCCACCATGCACCATGGCTATTCAACCAATATTTATATATAGTTAAAAATTCTATATCATAATTTGAGACTTTTTCAAATTCATGCCTTAACCAGCTATTCATATAAAAGTGTGATTTTCACTCGCAGCTATATCTGCAATTTTGAATCTAGAAGAGTCACATTTTATAAATGTTTTTTGTTCAAGTTCTTTATTCTTGGATAATTACTATTTAATTATAAATTCTTACTTTGAGAAGAACCTAATTCATCCTCATTCTATTTAATTATAAATTCTTACTTTGAAAAGAACATAATTCATCCTCATTTGAAGAATTCAATGTCGAGAGAACAATAAAAGATTCAAATTATCAAAATAATCTTGTTGATTTGGTGGATAGAGGGGTTCACTTTGAGTATATGACATTGCATGAATCAGAAAAGAAAAGAATAAAAATTAGTAAATTTATTTTATTGTTAAAGATTGGAACGTTATTCTGAGCTACCACAAAAGTCAGTCAAGAAATTTATATTTTCAATAAATCACGCATGTAATTTCATATATATAAATCATGACTCAGTTGTTGGGACAGCATAAATCTAATACTAATGTAAAATATAGTATAAATAATTTATGCATATAACCGAAACTAAGTTAGCAGTAACTTTAATTAATAATAATGTGTAAATATCACATTATATAATATTATCTTATTATAAGATACTTTATGCTAAAGATGTTAAGCCAGTTAATTTATTATTAGTTAAACCGGCTAGCTACGTATAAATTATATTGTAAAATTCGGACCATTTAACATCCCTCTTTGCAATTTCAAATTTGGCAGTAAAACTCTAACGTTAATTCCGATTTTAAAAGTAATGTCATGTGAAAATAAATAATTCATAAAGAGGCTTTTAATAAATAATCTTTAATTTAAAAATAAATATATATTGAAAAATTTTATTTATAAAGTCGAGATTAAACTACAAACTTAAGGATAAAAGAAAAATGCCTCGCATATCTTTGCTCCAAAAAAGCAATACGTCAACTTTCGTCTAATAAAATTGTAGAAGGTGCACTCACATATCTTAAAGCTACTGAGGACCTTCTTTTTCGTCAACATAGACACAAAGATATTTCTGAAAACGATTATAAATTTCGAACAGATGAAATCAAATATTTCAAAAGTACAATCAAGCAATTGAATTTTAAAGTCAAAAGCTTACAAGATGAAATTAATAAATTGAAAAAAGAATATAAAGATTTGAGAAAAGAAAATAAAGATTTGCATGAAGAAATGAATAATCTTAGTCAGAATTTCGGTTTGATTCATTTAGATGAAAATAAAGAAGTTTTATTAGGAAGAAAAAAACAAGAGATGATAAATGCATTACATGGCATTCGAAAAATATTAGATTTGTATAAAAATAAATATAAATCAGGTAAGAAAATATGTTATATTTAATTTTCTTTACGTAATATAAAGTATTTTGTTTAATTATGTGAATCGCTAATTAAGATACGATTGACGCTGACCCTTCGAAGATTGTCGAAATTATTGAGATTGAAGCTGGCGCTTCGATGATTGTTGAGACAAAATTAACATTCGAAATATTGCTACTTCTAGAAATTTTAGCAGAAATTGCTCTTTATTTATCCCACATGATATTTTAAGTCTTTAAAAGTAAATCATTCAACTAAAACGAAGATGAAATCTCATTTTGAAAAGTATCAAAATTATTGGAGAAATTATTTTTTTCAACTTTGTGAAAGATTTTCAATGCCAGAAATTAAACTTTTATATAAATATAAAAAATGCCTACATTGCAAAAATGAATTGGTTGATCCCGTAATAATTTATGAATTAAAAATTAAAATTTGTAGGCAATGTATTCCCTTCGCTTTAATTAGGTAATTAAAAGGTGCATTTGCATTTTATTTGTTTTTTTTTCTTTACTAATTCAATTTACTTTAGCCGTAGAAAGTTTGAAGAAACTTGGTTATTTAATGTAGACTTTTCTACTAAAGAAGCAATAATTAAAGCTATTCATTCAAACTTATCTACTAAAGAAAAAATAATTAAAACAATTCATTCAGTAAATTATCACTTTAGCCGTAGAGAGTTTGAAGAAACTTGTTTGCTTAATGTAGACTTGACTACTAAAGAAGCAATAATTGAAGCAATTCAATCAGACTTATCTACCAAAGAAGCAATAATTAAAGCAATTCATTCAGTAGATTTTTATCAATTCCAAGGATTATATTTGAGTTTTGGTTTACGGTACGATTCTTTTTTATCGCATGTACTATTTTATTTTAGAGAAGATACCGAAAAGTTTATGAAGAAATTTAATCAAATTCCTATCAATTCATTAAATAACTGGTTAAAAGAGAAAGTAGATATCGTTAATGAATGTCAAAAAAAATGTTTTAATGTTTAGAAATCCTTTGATTAACAATGATAATATGGAATTAATGTTAAACAGAGCCAAATTTTCTATTCTTCAAGAATATACACTTAGCGATAACTTAGATTCTATATTTTCTAATTTTGCATAAATGTCTAATTATTCCGAAAATTTTCTTATATAAATATTTTTTTAAATTCACTTTTAATTCAATAATAAAAATTTTTATACTTAAAAAAATTGCATTTACTTCATTCA